TGGATGAGAGCGAACTATCTGCCCTCCACAATAGACAAGTTATTTATTTAGTCAGTTTTATAAAAGGCCAAAGACATCACTGTTTATTGAGGAGGCTTACGTCTGCTAAATGATGGACTGATGAACAGGAAAAAGTATCCAGGATAAATCCAGACCTCATGATGGACTCATTATGATGGATGAAGGGCCTTTTTTTACCTGCCGACACTGTAATATCCAAAGTAATTACAATAAAATCAACGGTATTATATTAGTGAATAATGAGAAAATGTAATTGAAAGTGAAAAGTGTCCAAACTAAACGAAATTCAATCATGCTGTTGACAAAGTGTATTAAAAGCTTAATTAAGCACATCGCTTTAATAAGGTGGAAACTCAAACGTTCTTTAGCTTTGCCAAAAGCACACCTGGATCAGGTGTCATGCAGCCAAATATACAGTATACACCGCTTTTTAATCCTTTCTAGTTCTGAGTTATTTGGTTATTTTTGGAATCGTCTTAATTTCCCCTGTTCTTTTCTTCTTTTCTTCAGGCAAAGCTTCATCTGACACATTTTCTGTCCTGTAGCCAAAGAGGTTGGTTTCCAAAGAGCTTCCACAACATTAAAAAACGTATCCTTTCCTTTCGGTCGGAAAGAAATCCTAGAAGCATTTTGGCACTTACAGAATATATTAATGTTGAATTGAGATACCGAGGGCCTATATTTTAACATAATTATTTTGCATCTCTATCAAACAAAGTAACAATGGAAACATTGTTTAAACATGAGGATCTTCTGTATATCAGGGGAGACGATCAGTGCCAAACATTGTTTTGCTCATGTGATTCAAAGGTGCGCTGACTTTCTGACCTCTTAAAACAACACAACAGAGGAGTTCTCACACTTTTCTAACTAAGATATGTATCTTGTTGGTCCATTTACACATTTGGCTCCTTATCCCTGCCAGTGTCTTCAATGACCGATGTTGACGGACTGGTTTCCCTCCTTCAGACAAATTGCATCCGCTTGTGAGACTGAAAAAAGGCAGTATTTCCTCCAAAGAATTAACTTTAATTTCGACAAAGACACTAATTATGTAATACTGTCAAGAGCATTAGGTCTCACGTTAACATATGATGGTCATTGTCTGTTGCTTGGGATAAATAAGTTAAAATTAGTGTTTCAGATAATTTGCTGTCAGTTAATTTAACACAATTTTGTGTATTGCATTCCACTCGAACACTGAAAGTGCAAAACTATTTAGGCTTTTTTAAAGGGATTAATGCCCATAGACAGCAGACTTCTGAAAAGTTTTGAGATTAGGGACTAAAAGTGGGAGCGATGTGGAAAAAGACGCTGTGTGGAGCGGTTCCTCTCTTCGGTGATAAGATTTAAAAAACATATTGGTGCCAAGATGAAAAACGCAATGTGAACAGTCTTGTATTCTTCAATCACGGTACATGTTTTAAAAAACCCAGAGCGTTCCTGTAATAATATGGTCAGCTCTGTTTGATTTCCAAATGTTGCATGAGCCTAAAGTTGTTGTTACACTTTAGGATCCATTAAAGTGTTCCGTTTTCTTTTGAGGCATTTGACGCTTCACGGAAACGCAAGCCAGGTTTCGCGAACACATACGTTTTGAGTGTCGAATCGCTGCTCTGAAGTTTGAACACAGAAATCTGCGGTCTCCGTGGCCCTTTGCTTTTGTTTTCGGCTGAGAGCACCTATTTAGAGGCGGCTTTATGGGAGTACTGCCCGTCGCGCTCCACTCCAATTACTCAGCAGGCATGCTTCCCGTCCCAGTAATGAAGTGGGTGTTACAGTGGGTGGATTTGAAACTGAGCGGCCACTATATTCTGTATTCCCGCTACTGGGTGCAAAGGGATGAGTGGCGGAGAACAGCAGCGGCTCTGGACGCTCCGGACGGAGCGCGCGTCGGACCCGCGGAACAAACCGCGGAACCGAAGCCAACGATCTGATCACCCTTCAATCGCGCGTGCCTGCTGGAGTGTCTGGAGAAATGGAGAATTACATTTCCAAAAGCCCAGTAGATAAAGTTTGTATTGATTTAATCCAACGTGTAATCTGTTTTGCTGTCCGACACGGATTCTGGCAATAAAAGCGAATCACGTAAGACAGCATTATAGATAATACGACCATAGATCAAATGGAGTTTGGGAGAGAAAAGGGCAATAGATCATGTTGCAGCGAGACTGCTTAGCTCTGGAATTCATAAACTACCTCCTGAATCGAGGTGGCTTTCAATTTAAGTTTTCAATTTACAGATATCGGATTTGGTGTGCACTTGATCCTTGTGTATCGCGAGCTGTGTCTCTCTCAATTTGTCGCTCAACCACAAAAGAACACGATCCACTGAAGAAAACACATATTTAATATCTGGCATGACAACTAGAGCATTTTTGCTTTGACAAACGTTTCAGATGTATGACCCTTATGTACAGTCGTCCCGTACAAAAACATGTTTTTCTCTGCAGAGTCTGGTTTAAAGATAATTTAGGGTCTTTAATGTCAATGTAATTCTCTTCTCAAAATCATTGCCTTTGTTTTTATTTAAGCAAATATCATTTGGACTATTGGAGTGTGCATTTATTAACACAAGCATGAGATGAACGTGTCATCCAAATTCAATATTGAAAGAAAACACTCAAACTTCAAGTTGTAGTTTTGCTGGGTTAAAATAAATTACGTCCAAACTCTTTCAATAAATTGGTTACAATTAGTGATCTATTTTAGGGTCATGGTTTGAGTTATTTACATAAATAAGTATTTCCCTATTAAATATGAGTTAGTACTAAAGAGTACTGATTCGTAAACTGGTACTGGAAGCAGGCACAGTGTGTGCAGCTCTCTGCAGAAAATCAATTAAGTAACTGCAATCAGAAAATCTGAAAGAAGGATTTTTAATGTCTGTAGCTTCACTACTATCAAACAGAGATTGAAGGATCCATCAGTCAAAATCAATATTAATAGTGTCTACTTTACTATTTATACCATCTGACATTCTGGATAGTTTAAACTATCGATAGGTTACCTTGGTTTATCAGTTGATCATTGAATGACTCACAAGTATGAAGTGCTAGCACCACCCTCTGGTGACATAGATGACCACAGTGTACCAGTAATCGATACAGGCAATGCAGATAATACAGGGCTGCATGGAAGCCCCAAACCAGAGATCAGCCTCATATTTAAATGATTACTCAAACCGTATTCAAACCATAGAAGTTTGCAATATGCTGTGGACCTTTATGTTTCTTGTGACCAAAGGCCTGGTCCGTTGAGGTAATGATGCTGGCTTTATCCATTACTGCACTCTAGTGTTGAAAAAACGCGCTTGCGCATCACATAAAATGACCTACACAAAGAAAAAGAAATCTATTAGCAAGAATATTTCAGACCTCTTTGTAGGAATTTGCTTTTGTTTAATACGACAAAAAGGGACGATAAGTAGCCACAAAAAGATTGGATATTGTTACCATATTAAACATGCAGCAAATAGCTTTAGTATCAAAGACATACCAATATATCAATGGAAATCCATTCATAATATTTATGGTGCCAAAGCCGTATGCAGAACAGCAGCGCTCGGTTGGTAAAAAAGTCCTTCTTTTGGACAGACAAATGGGTTTTGCTTCTCTCTGTTTAAATCAGTTTGATTCAAATTGTATATAATATAATCTGACAGTTGAGCTGAAAGGAGGCCTGTCGACACTGACAGCTTTGGACAAGTGTCACTTTCACCGCGTTGCTTCTAGTGAATGACGGCTCAGTAGCTGTGTTCTGTGTCAGTCGTCTGTCCAGCAGTAAAGTTCTTAAACTGTAAACTAGTGTTCGCAAGTTATGGAAAGTAACTGTTAACTGACATCAGGGGTACTTCTTAATTAAAGCGCTAATGTAGGAACGTAACTATTAAATATGTCACTGCGTGAGCACCACAGTCTTCATAGATTAGCGATAGCTACATTGATAATTTGAGACAAACATTACCATCTCTGAGAGGTTTTCCACTTGTATTTGCTGCAGGTTTCTTCTTCTGGTTCAGGTGCGGTTGCTGCACAGTGCACAAGCCCACTGTCCTGTGAGGCTGCAAACTTTTTGATTTGACATCAGTAGAAGGGGTTAAGAAAACAAAGACGGCACACGTTGCTCATTTTTTATTTAATAAATAGTATTTAAACATTTTCAAGAACACATGCTACGGGATTTTAGGTTTACAGCTTCTAAACAATCAAAACAGCTCTTGAGAACCCAAATACCTGGTGACTAAAGAAAATGTCATCCAGGTTTTGAACACTGAGAAAACATTCAGTTTTTCTTTTTTTTCTTTTCATGAATTATCCTTTTTGTAATATTTACTTTTCAACCAGTTTTAAACAAGGCCTCTTAATCTATGCAGTAGTGATTGTGCAGCATATAATATATTCCTGGTGCTGCTAAAGCTCCCTTTGGTTTGTGCTTCTCTGCAGCGTGAAATTAGCACCCAAACATATGGAGAAGGGCTCCAGCAACAACTTCTTTGTAATTTATGATCAAATCTTTTTCTTTTTTTACCTGATGTTGTGTACATATCTAATAATGATGTGTCTATAACTTCTAATACACTTTGAATATAACCTGGTGCCACAAAGCAGTGCAAGTTTGTAATTTCAAAGTCAGAGTTTTCAATATGCATAGTACAAAAACATGTTAATATGTTTATATGTTAAACTATGCAATAGCTTGTATTGCTATTGCAATTGCAATTGCTATGCTAAGTCTGAATTGAAAGTCACCCCATAATTTATATTTACATGTTTGAGTTACAATCTGGCTTCCAATTGCCACACGGTGTCGGCATTTTGGAATTATACAGACTCAAAAATTGTAGCGCAGTAGCATAAAGCGACTTAAAAATGATGGAACAGATTTGAAATCCCTGCATTCACTTCATGATAAATGTCAGACATCTATGGTTTGTCATTCTGTTAGTCTAGTGTGGCCTTGGTGGTTTGAATCTTTAATTAGTTTAAATTTTCCAGCTCTAAAATGGGCATGAACCCTGCACAGTGTTCAAACTCATTGCATCTATCACACACCAATTGCTTTACATCCCAATTGTGTAAAGATTACGTACATTTACAGATACACGCATGGTCTAGAGAGCACCATGGTAACTAAACAAAGAGCAAAAGGAATAGTGGCCACAGCAAAACTACTAAACATTCAATTCCATACACTACACTGTACATTAAGGCATGAGGTGTTGATGCAAAACATCAGAAGAAGACTTATTGAGAAATGCAATGCACTGAGGAATTAAATAGATATCAATGAAACTACAATCACACCACTAAAGTAAGTTATAATAATATACACCCTCCTGCTGTTATATTAGTGGAATAGGTGTATTTTGACTGAAAATTTGACAATATAAGATATTAGGCCAACGGTCTAAAAGAAGAGAAGTAGGATGCTATCGTCCTTCGGCCTAACGTGCCAAAAGAATTTGAAAAGATAGATGAAGTTATTATGTTTACGAACCAATAGAAAAAGGTGAATGTAATTTAGAACAATTCAAAGCTACTGCTTAGAGCACCAGCATCACTATATATCTGTATCTTACACTTTTAATGAGAATTTGGCGATCTCTAGATAGATCGAAAGTTAGTACCAGCAGAAACTACTTTTCACTGAATTGATTCATACCACTTTAAGTTGTAAACTATTTGTTTGGCTCTAATATCTGTTTTAACATACATTGCATGGAAATATGTAACCAATCATGTGCATGATTAAGTTTCTTGGATATATGCTGCTATTAGACTTTTTTGATAACAATGACATGTTTAAAGTCTTAACAATGTAAATTATTTAAACACGTGTCTGTTTAACCTTGCACTTTGATACTATTAGTACTATTACTATTAGTCAACTGTTAGTTGGAACTGCCTGCACCTTGCATGTTTTCTTCACAATATAATAGATGTAACTAGAGGTCAGCACAATGAGTATTCAGATATTTTACACAACAGTTTGTAGCTGCACAGTAACTAAATACAAGTCAAGTCTATTTTCAGTGTGTATGTAATGTATTACCCTGTAATACTGTACAATTCTGCTCACTGCCTGCAGTGCACAATATTAGGTAACAGCACGTTAATGATGCAAGTTGATATGATATTTTGTACAATTTACAATACCCATCTTCACTTTGCACAATGCTTTCTACTGCAAATATTGCTGCAGTCTATCTTACAATCAACAGTAGATGACATTCTTTAAACATGCATTGTGTTCAAACATACATTTCAAATATCCTGGTCAGCAGCTGCAGCTTGCCGGGTGACACCATTTGGTGCCGTTTACCATTTTGCTGCTACCGGATGTTCTTATGTGTGTCTCTGTGGAGAGGAGACCAAAAGGTGCTTGAGGAGTGGAGAAGGACAGGAAGGACCTCACGCGGTCTCCTCCTGAATGCAGTCTCACGCGGCTGACTTCAGACAGTCGGGGGGCCGAGATAAATAAATCTCTAAAGGCCAACTCAACACCTGTGTCAGATGCGTGAAACACACCTTCACGGAGGGAGGGACACTCGATTGCTTGAGCTCTGGGAATGCCGCTATTGGCTTTTGAGATGCATCATGTGTATTTTTTTGGATGACAGTGATCAAGCAGATGGAATCCTAACAGTGATGGACTTAGGCAACATGCGTGCTGACATGGCGCATTGAAGCAACTCAAAGGAAATAATAGTGATCTGCTATGTTATTATCGGCCTTCTACAGAACATACAGGTACTTGTGTTTCAGGACATTGAAAGCACTCGGGTAAACTAAAGCTCCTTTATGAAATCACTTTTAGCTTTGCAAGCCACACACAAGCCATCTTGCCAGTATTTTCCTTTATGCTGACGCTATCAAAATGAGTATACAGTGTTGTTACATCCTGTTTTAGTTTGGTAGATTGTACAAACACTTAAGGGCAAAGTGTTATTTATATGAGACTGAGTGGTTCTGCGTTTAATTGCTGGTTGTTATCAGTTCAGGTTAATTGATGATAATTCAAAATAATATGTGAAAAGTTCTGTGCCAGCAGAGTTCTATTTTTGTAACTTAATCAATATGACATTGTTCTTTGCACCAATTACACTGTGCCATTTGTTAGTGAGGTTCATATCACTGAGGTTTGAGTTTGATGTACACCAAGCTAAAAATCTAAGAAACAATACTAATATTACTTTAACCGCCAGATTAAGCTGAGCTTGCAGACCTGGAGGAATTTGACTGCAGTGGAGAACAAACAGGAGGAGAGACCGTGTGCCTGAATAATCGGGACGTGTGTAGCCAGCGGTGCTTATCTTTTAATGTATCTTTTACAACTCGCATCCACGCTGATGCACTTCAGCGTTGACCCGGCCTTACCACTTGGTCAGATGACAGCGGATGAGCCAGAGGAAGGAGAGTTTCTATTGGGGGAGGAAGGAATGTTCCAGAAGAGCCACTTGCGTTTACATTGCCGCCTCTGGTACAGGTAGTCCTCCTTGTCGCGCTCTTTGCGCGCTCTTTGGTAGTGGTCGTCCTCTTTCAGGTACCACACAGGTGGCCAGCGATGTTTCTCAAAGTATTCTTGGTTCTCTGCATGAGAATAAACTCTTAGTTTTAAGTCTTAGGAATTTAGTAGGAATTTCAAACGTGCATTTTAAATAGTCACAACAAGTTGCTGCACAAATATGTAAGTTTGAAGAAACAGATCTAAGTAATCTAATCATATTATTAAATGCAATGATTGTGCTGGAAATATAATTGAGGAAAACACTACTTTAAACATGTGTTATGGCTAAAACGACCCTTTAATATACAAACACAGCCTCAAGCAAAACTAACAGCATTCATGAAGGAAATAATAAGTAAATTAAAGGCCCAGTAAGTATTGATTGTTATTATTGAACATTAGACTGGCTACTCCCTATCACATAACAGTAAATACATTTGCTGCTGAAACGCTACAAACTCATAACCTTCCTCAGGAGGTACGAGCACAATGAGGTTAATCTGCTTTTACCGATTTAATGGCTGACGTTCCTCAAAGAATATTAAAAATATTTTATTTCATACAGTTGTGCTCCAAAAGGCCACACAAGACACATACTGAACACCAGGTGAGTGTTTAGTATGAATGTGAGGGTATTTAAGGTCGCCAGGGTGCAATGAGGTCAAATGCCCGTTACCTGTAGAATTGGCCCTCATCTCTCGGGGAAACTTGCGGCAGACACTGTTGTAGTTGGTGCAGATGTGGTGAAGACACCAGCCAGTGAGCTGTTGGGCGCCGTGGAACTGTCAAGATACAAAGCATATTTTGTCTGTATTTGTGGATTGCAGCGATTGATTGAGGAGGTCGTACTATACCTACACTTGCAGCTGTTCTTTGTGAACAGGTGTTGCACTTGGCAGCTTCAATGATATTTTAACATTCAAAAATCTGCATGCCAAATTTAGCATGCATAGTATGAATGCATGTCTTATCATTGTGCTTTGGTGGTAGATAATACCAAAGAAAATGACCAAATGGACACACGGCTCCTGAGCATCTTTGCCCGGTCAGTAATGCGGCCCTGCGTGTGACAGTGAAGAGATGAAGGGAATGTGCAGCTGAATGATGACATAAGCCGAAGTACTGAGGCTTACAGTATGTCCTAAATGCCGACCGCCCCAAAGATCTGGAGCCATTCATTACCCAAATAGCTTAGTTGCACTGTGAAAAAGAGGTTATTTGGCTCCACCTTAGAGCAGTAAAGACTATTCAGTTTACAGAGCAGCTCTTCGGGAGAAATGCTCCCATTGATACAATTCTAATTTGCCACATCTTTATATGAGAGGTTTATGTGAGTTTATGTTTACTCATGATTGACAGGGTACACTACCTGGGCCATGTCCAAGTACACAAGCACGTCTCCATCAATATCCGCGCCCATCATTGCCGCCTCTGTCAACACTGTTACTGTGTAGAGCTCTGAAAGAAACATAAAAGCAGTCACTGTTCACAATGCAACAATGGCTTAGTGTAATACAATCCTGTGCTGTACAGCGTACGTAACTATACCAAACATTGTACCTGTAAGTGCAACCAGGTGGGGGAGGCAAAGACGATTGGCAAGAACAATAAGCTCCATTGCGTCCAGGTCAGACCGAGAACAAAACCGCCCTGTGTAGAGATATTCTAGCACGGCCCTCATACAGCTGCGAGTTGTGTTTGGAAACAGCACCTTAGAAACAAGGATGTGAGACCGTCAGGACTTACAGGCATAGCGATCTTGCAAACCAGTAATAAAATTATACTACTAATACTAAGACTACAGAGCTCATTGACACACTGCCTAGGTCAGATCACAATGACAATACCTCAAACGGCAGTAAGAATGCCATAAAAAGTGACATTGAATAAATATCGTACCCAGCATTCAGTTTGGGGTATTTTTTACCTATTTTTGGTCTTTTCACAGCCAAGCAAACCAGTGCTGTTTGACTTACCTCTTTGGTGCAGCTCTCCACAAAAGGCCCCCCAAACATAGCTGCCATCCAATCACAGCTGGAGATGAGTAAAGGCTTGTGGGCCATGATGGTCCCATCATCTAGCTTGAATACTACATCTGTAGTACAGAGGTGAAACACAGATAACACAATACTTAGGCCCACATTCAATCTGTTCAAACACCTGAACAGTTACGGATGAATTATTTCCACTCACCAGAAAAGGTGCCTTTGGCCAAACACTCCTTGACTCTGTTTGTGCGCCGTACATGAAAGGCTTTGGTGATTTCTTGGTTCATGAAGGCTTCATTGTTGAGTATGTTTGCCACCATCATCCGCAGGTCGAAGACCTCCAGCAGTTCAGCAATGTGGGCAACGTGCATTAGCTCTTTTTCATTCTCGTCCAGCTGACCCGTATACAAGTAGCGAAGCACAGCTCGGAAAGGGCCGAGCTGCATGGACTGGTCCATGTGCACCACAGTCATGGGCCTGGGGCTGTACGTGAACGGGTCATCCACCAGCTCCTCCTGGATACTGACAAAGGCTCGGCTCCACGAAGAGAGCAGCTTTCCCCGCCGGGCCCCATCGGAGTCTTTCAGGGTCCCGTCGCTCGTGCAGGCCCTGAGGTTGGCCCTGTCTCCGTCATCGCTGAGTTCACAAACATCAAAACTGGCAGCACGCATCAGCAGCTCTCTGCCGGACAGAGGGCCACGAGAGGGCCTTTCCGTCTCCTCGTTATGTGCGTCCATTATGAAGAGGTCATAGAACTTTGAAGAGGATGTCGCCAAGTATATCTTGTGTGCAAATATTTTCTGCCGCTCCTGCAGGACCAGGATGACGTCAGCACAGTGCGGGTCCTCCAGAAGACCGACTGGATGCTCCTCGGTCGTGGTTGGGGGAGGAGGCACAGTGATTAGAGGCGGGGGAGGTTTCGGCGGCAGGAAGGGCGCCTGAAGGAGAGGCCGCTGAACATTTCTGAGGTGAGATTTCCAAAACTGCAGGTGTCGGCGTGAGATGAGCGCAGCTCGGATGGCATTATCAAAGACGTCCTTGACTCCAAATTGAGCAACAACACTGGTTTCATAATACGGCACTCCCAACTCTTTGGCCACCTCTCGGCCTCTTTCTGGAGGAAGAATCTCATTGGATTTAATTGGTCTGCAACACATAATAAAATATATCAATTTTCACCATAGAAAAGAGTAAATCTCAAACAATCTCTTTGAGTTTCACTTAAACAGGTGCAATACCTCGCTAAGGGCCTCCGGGCCCTGTTCACGGCCTCCAGGTCGGCATAGCGCAGGTCCAGCTGACAGCCAACTAAAATGACAGGGGCCCGGGGGCAGAAGTGCTTGATCTCAGGGTACCACATGGTCTTCACATGGTATAGAGAGTTGGGGTTGGCAATTGAAAAGCACAGTACCACCACATCAGACCTGAAAGAAAGAGCCGGGAGACATTCACTCAACCCAGGAAGCACTAGTATTGTATTGGCAGACTGGTCCGACCCAATTTTTTACAATACCTTACCTGCCGTATGCAAAACGCCGGTCCTTGTGGTGGTCCCCGAAAGTATCCCAGAGACGGAGGGACACACTGACTTCATCCACCACATCTCTGGAGCGCTCTAATACCTAATGACAGATGCGGTCAGGAATATTTCATTTCTCTAGTCCATCATTTGTTTGAGAATAGCTTTTGAGATTTAAATCCTAACAAGTCATGTGCTTGCACACTTACCTCCTGGCACACTCTGTACTGGTCAATTGCCCAAACTGTGGGCACATGGGTAGCGAGTAACTGGTATTGAGTCAGTGTGGCATTGCACGCCCGGGCGCAGATAAGGCGCGTCTTTCCCACTGCATTGTCTCCCACCACCACACACTTGATAGTTTCAACGTTAGGCCTCTCATAGTCCATATCAGAATCTGTCAGCTGGGACCTGCAAGAATACAAAGAGGGACAGAAAGCTGCGTCAGCGCCTGAAATCCTAAACGTTTTTCTCGGACAATACAGGAACATGGATCAATAGGGATATTAGACACTAACTACTCCTCATCCGCACTGCTCCTTCTGCCTGCAGAGCTATCAATGGACAGTCTCGTGACTTCCCTGTGCCCATTCACAAGTTAATCTAATGATGAAGAACATTTTTATTAGAGGGACAAGGTCATCCTTAGAGTTTGCAGCTCGAGCTTTACTCCAACATAATACCAATTTCCACATGTTAGTTAAATTGTGAAAAAAAAAAAACATTCAGTTCCAAAACCCATTTAAAAATGAATTGTTTAGCTTTTCCACTATGGATATGAAGGCTGATGCAACCATCTGCAAACGTAAAATACCGTTCCCTGTCCACAATGCATAAAAGAAAATGTACCGTAGAGCTTAGAGTAGTTCAAATATTTACAACGTAATTCATTTCTATTAGTTCTTAAGTTATGACAACCACAAATCCGCCTTCATTGGATGGAATTGAGGGAAAAGATTAACAGACCGTTTCTGCCTTGTGAAAATGGTGGCTAATTTAGGCAGCTGTTATGGTTTCCAAGGGAACTGCAGTGTGTGTCTCCATGTGTCACAGCTCAGACAATCTTCCACCTATTACACAATCATGTTTTTTTCCCCTCAATTTGATTAATTAATTTTTGCCACCCAAAGCACACAGGCGCAAACCCTGGATACTGTAATGTCAAAGCTGTTGTCACTTAGTAAACTATATCTTTAATCTCTATGCTCCAATGCTCACTCTGACTTTTGTCCCAGAATCATCCCCCTTAAAAGACTCACTGCAGCAGAGGAGGATCATCGCATAGTGCAAACTTCTTGTCAATGAGGTCAGACGCCGTTGTCCTGTCCCTCTGCCAGGACCTGCTATAAAGAAATACAGCTGGCACCCTCCTTATACACCATCACCATTGGTCACCTGCACTACACTACAGCCACAACCGTGTGTTGTTGCTAGTTTTAGCAGGATTTCACGTTTTGATTGTGTCACCCCACAGAATACTATTACGGAATACTATGACTTCTCCTGACGTTTGCGGCCATTCAAACCCGATCTGCATCCCTATAGGCTGGGTCTGGCCTCCATTTCGGTAGTCTATATATATATATATATATATATATATATATATATATATATATATGTGTGACATGCGTGTGACATGCCGGGCCTGTGCGACACTGCACAGACACACCGCCTCGATCATCGCTTATTCACGTGCTCTTTCCGGTGACCGTCTGCGCTGCGCAACTCCCGAACTAATACATAATTGCATATGTGCCAGACACTCCACACACACACACGCACACAACAGCACATCCCCCCCGAGTCACATCGCCATTCAATACGCGTGCAGCTCCGATTAACACCCGCAACAAAGACGATCAAATTGGTGCATATTTCCTACCAGAAGGACCGAACAGTCCCGGCAGCAGCACCGAGCCACTCGTCACGCGGCTGCGGTGCGTCTTATGTAACGCGCCGTCACTGACTCTTGAGCCTGTTTATCGGGCTGCGCGTCCACATCGCGAAAAAAAAAAAAAACCCAAACAAGGAAATGATAGGAGATGGTTTCCTCTGCAGGAAATGTGCCTCTTACCGCAAAGTGAGGAAGTGCTGCATCGGTTTGGTCGATGATGAACGAGATAAAAAGCAGGGCTCCATCGGATGCCGGTTGCACCTGACGGCGGCGCGTTGTTAACTTCATCTTCACGGCGGAGGAGGGCGGGGGTGAGAGGGGGGGTGAACAGGTCTCGAAAACAAGCGGCCAACCCCCCGCAGATGTTTCAGGTAACTGGATCAGCGAGATTAGTCCAATTGCGTGGCCGAAAATACGAAAAGCTGACCTGGAGCGTCTGGGAGCGATGCGGCGCTGCAGCCCGTCACGGAGCCGCCTCCACGCACTGTAAGGCCTCCGCAGCTAATAATAGGCAGGCAGCGACAAAAAAACAGAAGAAAAACCTTCATCGCTGAACACTGATCCACTTTAAAGTCACAAACATCTCAGCCCAAAGCCCTTAAGCCGCCACGGGAGACTGCGTGCAGTCCTGTGCGTGTTTTTGTTGTTTTACCTCCCATTCAAATAAACTGGATTATTGACTACTTTGCGCAGTTTGACCGTATGTTGCTGTTGCGATTGAAATGAATTGCATTATGCATTATACCCCAGGTACATTCAGTTTGGGATAAAAAAAAGTGTGAAAAGTGCTGTAGTATTTGAGTATTTACGATCAGCTAATGGTCAGGGGGCAGGTCTATTGTACAGTATTTATGGAAGGACAGGTGCAGCTCTGCTATGATGAACTCTATGTGATAGGCACCCGATTCAATACAAAAGCATGCTAAGCAAATTAATTAATTTCCATGGTAATAAGTTGAAGGTGAATAAACAAAACGGCCTTCCGCCACAGACAGGCACTGGAAGGTTTTCTGTTAAATAAAGGGTATATTTTCACTTCAATTTGATTCAGTAATCTTCACAGCCTCAGATGATGTGGTTTAAGGAAGGCTTTAATCTGCAATAAATACAGTTCCCAACACTTGATTTATCTTTTACCTTGGTCACTCTGCGTTTATTTACATTACACAATCTAAAAATACAGTGTTTATACCCCTTAACTTTGTAGGACCAAGAGGATCCTACTATAAAGTTTATACTTGCAAATTTTGGAAAACATATACCCAAGCTGTACTCAGTGTATTGTGTAAGAAAGCCTCCAACAAAAAAAACATGATCATGGGGAAATACTTTAACAGATTAATTTAATATTTCATTGAACAAATGCTGTGATACTGATTTGTAATAATTTTCATTTTAATCCATACAGCATGCTTTGCTAAAACTCCTGCAATGTCAAGTCTGCTCCACCAGGAAGGGCTAAAAGTCTACTTTACACGTCCTTCAAACCCCACTTCAATAGATGCAATACAAATAGATATGAAAACAAAGCAATGGGTGTAAAAAATTAAACTGAATAAGCGCATTGTAATAAAACACATTATATAACGGGGAAATAACATAACTTACCATTTGTGTTGCAAGCTAGCTTGCATGTTCTACTCAAAGAAAAAAGGTAAGACACAAGGAAGCTACAGTTAAACTGGAATGTGAGAGCGTTACTTAAATAGGAACCAGAATATGAAACACAAGTACTCAGAAGTAAAACCTTCTTATTATATATAATGATTAATGACAACTGCAACTGACCTTTGGTATTTCCTTTTACCCGTGTTCCAGAATTGATCCATTGTCTATAACTGCTTATGCTATTAAGGGCTTTGGGGGAGCTGGATCCCAGCCAACATGAGGTGAGGAGAGAGACCTCATAGACAGGTCTTCAGGCGATCATATTGCTGACACATACACATAGAGAAAAACAATCATGCTTACGTTTACACCTACAGGCAATTTAGAGTCAAATATTAACCTAACCTGCACGTCTTTGGCCTATTGGGGGGGAAGCTGACATATGGCGATCATGCACAATCCACACAGAAGCTGAGCGATGTCAAACTCAGAGGCCTCTTATACGTGACGGTTCCATTACACCACCGTGCGAATGCCTTTGAATTGTCATCTTAGAATTCAGTTTTTTAGTTTTGCTCATTGAGCCACATTTCAGTAAACTAGATATTTTGCATCTTTGTACAAAGCAGAAGGCTAATTTTGCCTCCTGCAACATCAGTTTAAGGCTCTGTCCAAAACAAGCCTCGTTTAGACGTTACACCATCTGCCGCGTGCCATCCGGTCTGCATAGAATACGTAAGTTATATCTCAGGAATCTGAAGAATGCAAGCTACTGTATCAGCATCACTCCTTTATCTGTCAGCCTTGATTAGTTGTTTGGTAAATGCTCACTTTAAAACAGGCTGTCGCAATCCAATATGAAGACAATGACAATGAAAGCTTCCCTTTGGTCCCCAAAACGAATATTGATGTTACGCAGGACCTGAGTACTCAGTGTATTATTACACTGAGTTCCAACTAATGACACCTTATAATCTACTGTAATGCATCTTATTTACCATAATAGTCTTATAATGTACTCTAATTGATCTTCTAAATGTTTTGGGAACTTATGAGCAAGTTCAAATAATAAATCTGTACAGTTGTATAATTCAACATGGGTTCTTTAAATGCAAAGCTTATGTGATGTAATGTTTAGTCTTAAACATTCTTTTTTTTTTATTATAATTATGTGTAAGTGGAAAAAGTGATGTCAGTGGACATCTTCTACTTACACTTCTGATTTATGGTGAAGCATTGATACGGTTTGCCAAACTTAACCTTAGAATTGCGCAATATCCGAAGTGAGGGATCAATGTGTAACTGCTACGGACAGCAGCTTTAAAGTGAACTCTGTGCCGGAGTCCAGACGCATCGTCGGCTCTCGAACCATTCAGATAGTCGCACGATCCTTGCTGTCAGCGTGGTCTCAGTTCCTTTCTCTATGGCTGCTGCTGAACCAGACGCCAAACCTTTTTTCTCTCTGGAGTCCTACCATGTCTCTGAAGAGCTTGGTTTCATCCTCCCGGATCCTCTGGTAGGTGGATGGATTAGTTTCCCTTGTGAACAAGCAGCCTTAATGAAATGTAAAATTATCAGCAAATCTTGGATTGTCTTGTAGCTAACCTTAAATGTAGCTCAGACTGGTGGAAGCGATGCTTACAGCCTAGAAGTTATGAAACTGTGAACTGGTGACCTGAGGTATTGATTGAAACCAACTGGTCGAGGGAATATGTGTTTATAAAAGGTTCACATAGCAACATAACAGATTAAATGCTAATTTTGGGAGGGATTTTAAAATGGACGTAGAGGGATAACTTATTTTCTACTTCACATTTGTGCACTACTTTATCTAATTTCCATTCGTCATGGTGACCATCGCAATTTATTTTGATGGACACAAAGGAAGAGCTACCACCGTACTACAAGCCATGGATGGACATTGCCCTGCGAGTCCCGGAGCTTGTGCACTCCCGCCAGTTGCGCTTTCTTATTAACAAGGTAGGCGGGGACGATAAAGTGACAGGAACGATTCTCTATGGAGCCATTGGTCCCTGTTAATACCCCGTCTGTTCAGATGCCACAGCTGAGCAACCGGTTTCTGCTGAAGCACCGCGAGTTACGCTTGGCCCACCTGGCCCTCAGTGTAATGACCATGGGCTACATGTGGCAGGAGGGAGAGAACAACACAGTGGAGGTATCTCCTTTTCTACCGACTCATTCCCTCCCTGCCGGCTGTCGGTTGCTCTGCAATATACCATTTACATGAATGAATTTCTTCTAAGACACTACCACGTAACCTGGCGGTCCCATACTGGGAGGTGTCACAGCGTTTAGGACTTCCCCCAATTCTCACCCATGCAGATGCGGTACTGGCCAACTGGAAGAAGAAGGATCCATTGGGGTACGCCCAGTTAGCTTCTGCCTTTTCCCCGGGTTTCCCTCTGAAATGTCTGGTATTAAATCTGTTCTCTCTCTTTTTCATCTCCATCTGCACGTATCCTGTACCAGTCCTTTTGACATGGAGTAAGTACATTTCTGTCCCCCCTAAGTGATGCATCAAAATATTTGTATGAATGCAAAGGTCACTGTTGTACGTGTAACACGCAGGAACCTGGAGGTGCTGGTGAGCCTCCCCGGTGGAGACAGCACCAGAGGTTTCTTCTTGGTCACTCTGCTGGTGGAGCTGGCAGCAGTTCCTGCATTGAGGGTGAATATTGACCCCAAAAATGAGTAATTTAAGCATCGCTGTTTAAAAATAATACAGTCCGACATGAATTGGAAGGGGGACAGCTCAGACAAAGCCACTTAATTACTTGTGTTGCAGAACATTCCCGCTGTGATCAACGGTGTCAGGTGTGGAGACACTGAGACTGTGGCCGGAGGCCTGGAGGTCATCAGCCAATCGATACAGGACATGACAGATAAACTGAAACTGATGCAAGGTGATCACTCTAATTTTAAATGAAATACTTAATGTTTCCCATTGACTGTATGTTATAACTAGTATTTTGATGAATGTGATTTTTCTTAAGTTTACGTGGAGCCTTCGGTGTTCTACGGCATAATGAGGATCTACTTGTCCGGGTACTTTGTTTTCATTTGACTGACTAATTACTCTCTTTTTTTTAAAGTGAAACATGCTTTTTGAGTTGTGTAATTGTGTGTGTGTGTGTGTGTGTGTGTGTGTGTGTGTGTGTCCATGAACACATACGTAGGTGGAAAGACAACCCGTGCATCCCAAAGGGACTGGTCTATGAAGGGGTCCAGGCGGAGCCCATGGAGTATTCAGGGGGGAGTGCTGCACAGAGCAGCTTGCTTCACTCCTTCGACGAACTTTTTGGAGTCAAACATGAAGCGAAAAGTGGTAAGATGGATGTTTTCTTCTTTCTCCCCTTGGACCGATCACAACAGTTGCGGAGCACTTTGAAAAGGACTCATCGTTATGCTTCTGCTGCGTGTTTAGGTGCCTTTCTGACCCGCATGAGGAACTACATGCCACCGGCACACAAGCTGCTGATCACGGACATCTCGTTGCAACCCTCCCTGAAGAGTTTTGTCCAGCAGCAAGGCAGCCAGAGGCTGAACCAGGCCTTTCAGCACTGTGTCACAAAGCTGTTGGCTTTTCGCAGCTACCACATCAATGTCGTCAGCCGCTTCATCACTGTGCCTGCGGCCCGCGCCCGACAACTGAGGAACCAGAGCCGGGAGTTAGAGGGGGGCGAGATGATCAGCAGGGCACCCACAGCGTTAGAGGAACGGGGCACCGGTGGCTCTAGCATCATGAGCTTCCTCAAGACTGTGAGAGACAAAACGAAAGGCACTTTGTTGCATGAGACAAGCGAATAAATGAAGCGCCGCTGCTGATGTGATCCGTTATCACGGAGGTTACACAGCGGAGGGTCAACTGAATCACGTAAAGCCGTCCGTAAATCACTTCTGATTACTTACTGCGAAACTACTTTGTCTGTGATTTGAAGCCCCGTGACAGAGTGAGAGTGTGATGCCTCTATTGTTCGTCTTACATGAAGCTTTTTTCCATCTGTAAACAAACGTCAGACAGGAGTAGACGGGAGAGAAACCCGTTATTCAGCATCATTGCTGTTACTTTCCATTAAATTCAACCACTGATTCGTCCTTTAACGTGAACGCAAGAAAATACATCCGACTCTGCTGCAGACCGTTGTTCCAGCAATCAGTGCTAAACCCTCTTTCAATGAGAAGGAGATTTTCTGTTCAAAAGCCATTTAGAAAATTCTGTTTAATGATCGAATACATTTACTGATGCTTTAAAGATCTAATGGCAGTTGAAGTTTGAAAAACTGATCATGTGGGAAAAGAATACTGCGATACCAGAGAAACTTTGGCAGGGGCACTAAAGTTCAGCACGGCCATTTATCACAGCAGAAGATTTCACAGGTGCTGCCTTTGAAGAGATAAAACAATTGGCAACACCTGAGGGCACCAAGAGCATGAGGGCCGTTGATTTAGTAAGTATTCGTCATCTACAAATCGTTGTTTGAAGAGGTGTGATATCCATAGCAGCCTGACACACTGCAGTATCGACAGGCTGGGACCTGAACTTTCCCTCTCAGAAAATAATCAGTCTTTGTTGCATCTTGACTCGACAGTGTGTCCTCACAATGGGGGGGGGGGGGGGGGGGGGGGGGTTCATGTCAAAGCACAATGCACAATGCTGTGCAGAGATGCATCACTTCGATGCATCAGTTACCTCGGCACTCTTGCCGCCCTTTCAGCCCTCATCCAGCCCTCACATGCCCCTCTTTACTTCATGGTGCTGAAAGTGTGGAAAGCTCAGAGCGATGAAGGGATGGATTGTGTCATGAATCGCTCACGCTGTGTAATCTTCACCTTTTCCTGGCTCATCTCCACCGTTTCATTTCAATAACGGCCTTGTTAGCGCAGATAAAACAGATGATGCAACAATCAGACATTACACTTTGCCCAAATCTTAGCAATCTGCTCTGACTTGCCTGTGTTTCTTTCACATTCTGGAAAAGAACACAACAGAAGAGCAAGTGAGAGAAAACTATTACACGTGACTTTAATACGAGGTTCATTTGTTAAAAGGTGTTTGTAGCATGTATGAAGACAGATGTTTTAAGCCATTTGGATGTATAGCAACAACACTCATAAAAAGTCACTGGGCTGGAGATCATTCATGCTTTCAATCACCGTAAACCCTTCAAACAGACACGTTTTTTATGACCTGAGAAGCTGTGTGTCGGCAGAGCCGAGATGAGGACAGAAACCACTCAGGACGTGGGGAGATGGGTGGCAGGGGCAAATAGTTTGCTCACGTGTCACAAAACGTCTGATTAAAACCTCTTCCACAGCCAGAACAAATACCGCCCTTCCTTATTGCCCGACTGTGGAGGACACCCTGACAACCCGGCAGTAAACACCGGCCATCTCTAAGGATGTCTTCATTGTGCAGTCGGGGCAGGGCCTTCGTAGTCACTAAAGTTTCACATCAACACGGCGGCTGGTTTCAGTGTGTTACATGACACACACGTTCATGTACGAACTCACTTGGTTTGCGCTGGTGTGAGATGTACTGCAGAATAAATGAGAGTAAGGTGTCAGTTTCCTCCCCCTTATAGTGATGTTTTGGCTTACATGTTCTAATAGACTTAAACTTACAAGCAAATGATATGAAAGCGATTCTCATCGCGGCAATTCAATGGAGTCATTCTTGTTTTCATGAGATCACCTCAAACATCCACATTCCCATTTATCAGAACCCACAGGATCACAGGCGTGGGTTCTCCTCTCTGTTTAGATAAGATGGATATCGGCGCCTTGCTGGTTAACCAGGATATCCTGGATTCTGTTAGTTCAAAATGATGCTGCTGCTCACCTTAAGCCCCGCAAAGCCGAGAGTGTAACTCACCCTCGCGGGTCAGACACGCGGGTCAGACACTGATCAGTTTGGAAACTGAATTTGAGCTGTATGGGTATTATGCTAAACGACTTTCAAATACGTTTTGCTGTGATTCTCCCTCCCACAGGATATTCAATCAGTGGTCTAAAATAATTGAACAAAATAGTGACAGTTCAACAACAGGTGAGTCTTCCAAACAACTTCCCTAGTGCCGTGACCACCTCCAGACTGGTGAATCATCTTCCTTATAATACCTCACTTACGCCGCTCTAAACAAAAGCTAATGTATCTCACCGTGATGCAGTTTACCAACTTCACTTTCCTGCCTACTTGTCTCCGTTAAACAAGACATCAAGCTCATCTATCACGTACTTAGTTGCTTAACCTCTTTTTATTTACAAAGTCAATAGAAACATGCTGATGTGTAATGTGTTTACCGTGTTCACCACCATACGGTTTGTTTGCTTATTGTCACAGGAAGTGAAGGCTGAATGTCGCAAGTTTTGCAGCCATTTGTTCAAAACGTTTTTTCTGTGATTTATTTGATGATGCAGCAACCGTGAATATCTGTAGAAAATGACATGGTAACATATGCGAGATACGTGAACCAACAGACCATCAATGCCAACCTGATTTGAAAATGTAACATTCTTTAACAAATTAAAAGTTTTCTTCCAGCAGCCTTCTTTTTCTGTATTCCAAAACTTTGCAGGGTTGAAATGCCGTCATGCAGAACACGCGCTCTGCAGTGACCTCTTGCACAGTGAGCTTATTGACCTGTCCTCATTCCTCTCATGTTTCAGTGTGTGATTTGGCCTCTTTCACTGGGAGATTTGCTCTGACAAAGTAAATTAAACAACAAAATGTTGCCACTAAAAACTGTAACCCCATTGCTCTGCTTCATGCTGCATAGAACAGACATGGACCGTCAACTAAAAATACTGAAAGACGGACAGCAGTTCTACTAAATGATTACTTGTGGGCCTTGGGTCCCTTTAATTGAACTGGATGCTACTTACAACGTCCTAAAGGCCCTTACAATGAAGTGAGGCTCTCTGAATGGTTTCCCCAGTGACCACAACCACACGTTTTAAATCTGATTTTGATGGCCGCGAGAAGAATACACGACATTCAGATGGCTTTCCTCACAGGATTAGCAGCAGCGCACAGACGTCACAGCCTTTTGTGTTAAAGGTTAAGGCAACTTTGAGCCGTGTGTAAGGGAATACAGCTCAACCTCTCGCCGCAGCTGACTCACTACTGGCCCTGACAGGTGCGCAACAGACAACTGTGCGATTCCACACACACACGCTCGCACACGCGCGTATGCAAAATGCGCAGAGCCACGACGTGCCCAACTGAGCACCGACGCATGCACGGGCAAACACAGCACCTCACTGCTTCTGACCTGGAGACAGAAGAACCTTGTATGTGTGTGTTTACTCCCACTTGCTCCACTTGGATTTCCTCTCATGCCACGCAGCTATTGTCCTCCCGCCTCTCGCTCTGCTGATTGACTTCCCCTTCCTCTGAGTGGTCGCTAATGTCACCTTCTCCGCTGGCGCCGACACGTTCGTGTTATCAACAGCTACTCGTCCGGGTTTCAAAAATACAGGAAGTTCCTCTCGGGGTCCGCTGCGTGTGATACGTATTGACGTGGACAATAAATGTTCACTTATCCCCGTCGCGAAGTCACATGTAACCCATGAGAAATACTGAGACACAATGCATTCCAAGGGCAAGGGCACGCCAAGGTCACGCTGTATTTTTCGAAGAAAATACCAATAACATTTGGGAACTCGAGATAATATCTGGTCGGCATGTTCACCCTCCCCCCCAATTTATCCCCAACATTCTAGCTTTGTCATAAAATGGAGGATAAACATGGGGATCAGATTACGTTGATGAATAACTTCTTCGAAAGCTGTGAAAAGAAAATTGCTGTAATTCCAAATTGTTATGGTAGGATATCAGTGGCAAGAGGAGGAGGAGTCTTTTTTTCACAGCCCCTTTCTGCAGCTCAGTCATGGTCACTGTACTGCAATTTTTGGTCACAAAGTCCAGAATGTTATTCTTGCGTTGGATGAATCTCTTTAATCCACACTTGTAATTGCTTACTTATGTAAGAAAAAATAAGAGAGGCTTCCTTTGGGCCGCAGCTACCGAGAGATGGAATGAAAATCCCCAATAGTCGTCTAATCCCAAATTTCCCCGTAAAAACATTCCACTTCCTCCCAGGCAAGATACAAACCTGTACCTATGCAGAGCTGAGGCGGGCGGCAGGGGGGGTGAGCTGCTTCGGCCGGGGGACAAACTGGAGACAGACGGGGTCGGACAGATGGGAAAAGCAGTCAGGTGTAACGCAGAGGCCTGGGACGACCACCGACTTGAAGCTGCACTGTTCCACCATGAACACGGAGCCATATGAACCGATTCTGTTCATGTCGGCTAAGAACCGAGGATCTTTATGGCGCTATAAGTCAAGCTGAAAGTTTGAGTGAACAAATCGCTGAACACAAGAGTCGTTCATTTCTTAAAGCACTGTATACAACAGGCAGCAACGTCAGAACAGCCGAGGCTGAAGATGACAGCCAATAATGTTAAAAATGTTTAGGAAGAAAAGTTGTGGTACAATTTATCCTGCCTGAGCCATGAATGTTAATACTGAATGTTGTGGCAAACCATTCAATACTTATATTTAAAATTTGGACCACATAATATTTCATGAATTTTCATGACTAAAAAGCAATGTTCTGGTTTCGTTGCCGTGGAAACTGAGATCATTATGTATAAGACCAGATCGTCAATTAGGCCAATATCTTACAATGAATAAAAAATAAATATAGGTTGACACTACAGTCAACATGCAGTTGTTGGATATGGATGGAAAAGCTCTGCACTGGTTCAGCCGGTTCATGTGAGAGCACATTCAGACCTTGTGTCCCCTCCTGAGGTCGGCCCTCTGCTGCCCACACAGCCTGAGCCTACTTTGCTCGTCTCTGTTCCCAAGGCATCATGTCCTGAAAAACTGTATTCAAAAAAGAAACTGTTACAATTTGTTCTGCCAAAACATGTTCACCAAGCCAGAAACAACCAAATTTAGATTTAAGACGTTGTACTTTCTGCCATGTAATTTACAAAATTGGGGAAGCCAATATTGTTATTTTCCACAGTGAGCTTAATGCAATACATAAAAATAGATGCTTGCCAAATGTCCACTTCATGGATGGATTTAGCTTCTGCGTAATAAAATATTGTTCATTACAAAAATCAGGAAATCCAAAGAATATTATTCCAGCTCTTATGCGGTGTCACCTGGATCACTACTGTGGACGGCAAATATACAGTAGTAGAGTGAAAAGGTCTGGTCCTGTTTAATCAAATAACTGAG